AATAAATTAATAATTTTTCGTAAGCCAGTCAACGATAAAGCACCACACGGAATTACGTCAGCGGGGAAAGAGAAATGCCCAACGGTTCAGCGCTTAAATGGCGAGATTATTATTAATGATTCGGAATCTTTATCTGCTTTTGCAAGCAAGAATAATGCATCTCAGATGTGTCGGGAATAAAGCACATGTATAATTGTCAATAGTTGGAAGCTTGATTATCGAATGTTTTATCCAAGTAACCGCTTTATTTACATCTGACCTAAATGCATCACTTAACTTTTGATTAATATATTTTATGTCATATTGAAACTCTAATAATTTAATACAGAAATATCAATTTAATTATTTTTTTCGTGGAAAAGATGGAGAGTATTAAATGTAGGAAAATGTTATAGATATTAACTTGACATTTAACGAAAATACATTAAAAAAAAATCTAAAAGGTTTCAGATTTTAAATTACGTCCAAAGGAGCGTTGTTTTAACATTTTGTCTGTTACCTTTATTTATTAAATATCGCATTTTTCGCACTTAAACCATAAAATTCAGTTCAACAGCAATATCGTAAAATAGTTTTAAATTGACCATATCTTTAGAATTTTCGATACGCAGTCTCAAACGCCGGAGATAAACATGTTTTTTCTGTACAATGTTGCCATTGCTCGCTTTGAAATCAAAAATTCGTTAAAGATTTAAAAAATATGAAATCGATAATAAAACAAATTCTAAATTTCAAATTTGGGCTTCCACACACCATATTCGCAGTAGGATTATGTCATTCAAAATTCGATGGCTCTATGTACCGTAGTTTTATCACAATGCAAGAAATATACATATATTTATGCGGATTTTTCATTATTTAATTTTTTGAAGTATAATGCAGGACTCTAAGAATTGGTGGCAACAGTTTGAAAAGTAAAACGGACACTTATAGTGAATCAACGCAAAATCGCAAAACGAAAACAATGGTCCTTCAGGCACAAAGCCCTTTTGTACTAATTATGTTATAAATAACGGGTAGATTGTAATATCAATATTTTGTTATAATGAAAGAAAAGGGAAAAAGGTCTTGTCAAATACATTTTCATTTCTTTACATCGCTATATTTTCTGTAATAGAAAACGTAGTTTTAAGTTAGGCAAAATGTTGGTTTGGTTCCTCAAACCAGCTGCTTGAGTCATCTTAAAAAATATGTAATGAATTTAAGGAGGTCAACTAGTGTCTTAGCACAAAAGCATTCAATATTTCTAATTAGACATCTTATGATTTATGCATTTTTATTAAAATCAAATTAAAAAGTAGAGAAAGTATTCTTAAGAACTATATTATTGTTTGTAAATTGCTTGCTTTGTTCTTCAATGACAGATAGATTAAATCTGCAAATTAATTATTTTGCGCTTTACTGAATGGCAACATGCTGGTGCATGGAGAATATAAATGTTCTATTTGATACAGCCGAAACACATTGCTTTCAAATAGCCGAATTTGGAATTAAAATTAAAAGATAAATTATCTTACATTTTGTCGAATGACAACAGCTCTGTTGCGCTGGAGACAATAGTGTTTTATTTTGAACAGTGTTATTGATATTTATCGCTTATAAATTCCTGAGTTTGTTAAAAATTCATTAAATTCCAACCAAATTTTAAATAAATCAAAATAAATTCAAAACTCGAAATTCTGGCTTTGATTTCGGCACATGTTCCTGTGGAGGACGTATATACGTGTTCAAAATTTAGTAGCTCTAGGTGTCGCAGTTTTCCCGCAATGCGAGAAACGTACACAAACATATTCATTGTTTAATAATACAGAAGAGGTAGTATACAGTGTGTTTAAAGATCTTAAGATTATTTTGGGGGAATTCATGCAGATCTTCCAAATAATAATTAACAGCGTTTATTATCATGGCAGTTCACCTTGCTTTCCTAAAATATTGTGATTGTGGACTGAATTTTCGGTGCAGTTACTTGTTTGATTTGTTTCCAATGCAATAGATTTGAAAGTTCAGCATGTCAGATACGTTTTCTGTTCTTTAAATGATTAGTTTTTGTGTGTCAGAAGGTTTAATGTTAAGACTGGCGAAATATTGGCTTAAATTTTATTAAATGACACTTACAGTGCATCAACAAATCTTAAAGTTTTGTAGCAAGTTGCAGAAAACTAACCTAGTGGTTTTGATAGCATTTATTACCATGACAGAAATTGTTTTCCTGAAATATCAAAATATCATCTACTTGCAGACGAAATTTCTGCGCCGTTATCGTTTGCCTTGACTCAATGAAACTCTAACAAAATGTATTTGAAACTGAGCAAAGAATAGGAATGAAGTTATGATGTAAAGCGGAAAAAATAGAAACTGAGACATCTGAAATATAAAGGATTTATGGGCGTAAATGTTTAACATTTTCCTTTTTATTTCTGTGCAAATTATTTTGTGATAAAAGCGAAAATGTTGATGATGAACCCAAGAATCATTGCCATATGTAGTCTAGAATGGATGAAAAAATTCCACAATTATCGCTGGAAAATCGTCATTTTCTCTTTGAATGATAACTGATAAGGTTATGATCCCCAAACATATTGCACTGAAAAAATATCTTTAAAAAAGAATACTTGTTTTGTCCCTCAAGTATTGGCTGGTTAGACAACAGAAAGAAAATAGAATTTAAACGTGTGACTAATTGTTCCAAAAGTCAGGTATCAGTCCCCTTTTTTCAATACTAAATTGTGACTGGAACGTCAGGAGACAAAGTTGCAATCATCTGCTTGAATTGTTTACCGCAGCCATAAAAATGTTTGTTTGAGAAATTTTGATTAAAGACTATGCTGGCGACTTTTTTATCAGAAGGCTTAATTCTAGATGAATTCGTTCCTGAAGGGCAGATATTGAATTCTGTATCTTATAAGGACACAATGGGCAGAAAAATATTCATCGCGTTAAGATGGAAAAACTGAATCAATTTAGTGATTTCTACTGCTCGACTAAACACTGTTAAACAACTGCATTCCCTTCAAGAAGTTTCTAGCAAAGAAGAGTGTTATCATTCTTATTTGCGCAAACTATTCATCAGATCTAGCATCTGCTATATATTTTTTCTTTTCTAAAGTCTCACCTCAGAATTCATTACTTGGACAGTATTGAAGATATTCAGAAAACCGTAACCCAAATTAGATTGATCAGGATCTGTCATAAATTGTCATGTATGACACATAAGAAAGAGATATAGAATTTTATGTCTATAACCCTTGGATGGAATGACGTAACCACAGCGTTCGACTAGGATTTAATGAACAAGCTAGCAGAATGTTTTCATGTATTTTCTGAATCTACTCATCAATGATGTTGGCACCATGAATCGCATTAAATATGTATCCACCCGCGCAGGCCATGTGCAACATACATACTAATTTCCCTTCCTAAGAATGATGGCACCCTTCAGCACTTCCATGATCTGACATGTCATTGGATGGAAGAGCACAAATAAGAGTTTTCTGCCTTTCCTTAGTTAACAAATTCTCCAGACGTAAACCCATTCAAGAATTTATGGGGTCACCTTGATCGGGTTGTTCGCTATGTGGAGCTTATGCTATGCACCTTCAGCAGCTCACATGTCAACTGCACTGCAATCAATATAGCATCATATCCCTGTGAACGCTTTTCCAGCTCCTTTAGTTCCTCTCAGCCCATCTAGCCACCTCTCAGCTCGCGGTGAACATAATAGTTATTCTGGATATTAACATGTGAACACGCCGCCCAGATGGCAAAGTGATTAATGTCTTTGACTGCCATACAGAAGGTCCCGGGTTCGAATACCGGATAAAGCATGTATGTTTGGCGAAACGAAAGGTCCTCTCGTGTTGTCTGGTGGTAGGCGAGAGGTGCGGAGGCTCTCGAACCACGCTTCGAAGTGCTCTTCATCAAAATTGGGGTGGAAAGTAGAGGTCCAACTTGAGGCTGTGACAACCATTCTTCAGTAAAATATGGATTCGACAAGAAAAGGTGGTTATTCTGATGCGACACGACTGTGAATATGGTCATAAACATAAAATTATTTGTTTATCGGTTCAGTTCACATTTTGCGTGGTATTCTGAGAGATATTCTCAGCTGCCACAGTACCAGTCTTAAAAGAAATCTGAAATTTACATCTTATGCCACCCATACGGGATTGTGGTTAGAGACTCCGCAGCGGAGGGTACGAGTTCGTGTCCCAAAGAAGACATGGATGTAATTTACCGTCCCTTCATAAGAGACAACGGTGACCCACCTATTATCCGCTTCAATAATAAAGTGACAACCGCTTCCGGTCTTAGTAGTGGCACCTATAAACGGGTAAACCAGCCATTGGGAGGGAAAAAGTGTTTATATCTAATTATTTATATCTAATCTATCTAAAGTGTTTATCTATCTAGTTTATATCTAAGTTGTGGTTATTAAAATTTAGTTTCCATTCTTATTTTGAGAAATTTAGCATGATAAGTTCTTCTGGTGTTTCTGAATGGTTTCTGAATTAAACTAAACTTTTTCTGGAGTACATACACACATGAAGCTAATATGTTTCAGTGTTTGTGTGAGATTTGCCACTGAGGTCATTTATAGTGATGATAGATCTGTATGCGGGAAGTCTTAGCTCTGGAGGAAAAGCACACAAGAAGATGGTACTAATTCTGATCCCTCTTAATGGAAAGTGCGGCGAACCACTATAATTTCAGGCTCAGGGTAGGTAACAAGGGTTTGCTAGAGAATTTAAATCCCCAGTTGAGGCTCAGTTTCTTCTATTGATGAATTCCTTCCTAATAGATAACTGAGACAAAGAGTATCAACTTCATAATTGCTTTCATTAAAAGAAATGGGTATGGAATCTGTTATTATTTACATGTGTCTTCAAAGGGATTTTAAGTTAAATTACAACCGTTCTTTAATGATGGTTCAATATCTTTGTATATATTTTACATTTATACCCTGCAAAAAGTTTCAATTAACTTTATTTTTATCTCTTCAGGTCTCTGATCTGTCGTCCACGAACCATGACAGAAAGAATACTGGTTTGTTTGCTATTAGCTGTCTCTACACTGTGTACCATTCTGGTGATCCTTCTTTTCAGACCACATAATCCTCCCCTGCTGCGAGGTAGGCGTAATGGTACGTTATCTATGAAAATGTTTTATTTCTTTTCTTTTTTTCCTTTTGCTCTTATTTGATGTTTTATTTGTTTATTTTTCTTTTTTTCTAATTTTTTAGTTGGAAATGCACAATTGGCAATTTGTTGGCAACTTAACTGCTTCAATTATACCATTAATAATATATCACTTCATGTTTGAGATAAATATAATGTCCGAGAGTATGAATTTTCAAAATTAAAGGTTTTGTTATAAAGTTAAAATGACTTCATTTTATTTTAACCCAGAGATTTCAAATCTTTTTCTTGCATCGAGTCCTTTTAAAAGGATGGATTTCTTCATCAAGCTTTTGAGATTTTTCTCTGTAATGTACAGCATACAACATAATCGTAATACAAATACGTGAACATAATAACTTAAAGATAATAATTAAACTAAGAATATGGACAAAAGTTTTGTGAAAAAATAAAGTTTTATTAGATTTATGTTTTACTATTTTAATTTAATTTTTACAAGTATAAACAAGTTTTCAAGCAACAAAATCACAGATTCTACCTGCACGAAAGTTTGATTTTAATCAATATAAGGGGTGCGCCTGATGTATTAATGCAATATTTTTAATATTGGGTGCAAAAGTGTTTAACCTAATTCTTAAAAGAAAAAGTCAAAAATGTGGATCCGGTAACAAATTTTACTTTGAGATACATCTCAGATGACTTCTTAAATTCTAAATCCCAGTGCTCACTATGTCTTGAAGAAGAGTTGTGACTGCCCATCCTATTTCCATGCAGTTACCTCTTCCATTTCCGCATTTGCCATGTTTTATGCTTCATTAAAAAAAACTTGACTGGTTTTTATACACTTATTGCAGATTTTGTGTGTTTGCTATACATCGGAGCTAGAAAATCATATCTATTCTAAATACGCATTGACTTTTAAATTTAAATTCTAATTTGTAATTATTGAAGATTGACTTACTACATAATTAGTTTCTTCCATCAAACGCTACCCATAAAAACGCTACCTTTACTGTGTGCATGAGTTATCTGTATTTGCTTAAATGACTTAACACAAAATGTTAAGTCAACTTTACTCCTCACCACTGGCTGGTTGAACTTGAAAAATAATACAGTACAGAACTTGACAGAAAATTAGCTGTCTAAAACACCAGTGATCCCACACAAAGCTACAATACAAATTGTGTCGAACAAACTAAACTCTACTGCTGTTCAGCTGTTCAACACTTACACGTGGAATGTTCAGGCTTTCACATTTATTCATATCAGCAGCTTCAGCTTTAAACAAGCAAGCAGACAGAGATGGCAACAGCCAAGACTTTAGTGTAAATAATACAGTTTGCGATTTTTATTCTCAATTTAAATTATGCTACTTGCCATATATCTGCTTAGACCTCTGAACTAAGAGAACACTTGACAAAAACAAGGCGAAAAGAAAGGAATGAACTCAAATCTTAAACTAAATCCGTCAGTAAAATTTAAAAAGCATATCTTAAATCATTTCCGTATTACCTTAAATAGCAGTAAGAGGCAAAAGGTTTAAGGTGCCCACTTCTTTTAATTCTTCCTTCTGTTTGTGGTATTAGTTTCAAATTTTACTGACGGTTATGATTTATTTTAAGGCCCGGTGGCGCAGGTGGCTAGCGCATCGCGCAAGCAGCACCACAGGTCCGGGGTTCGATTCCTGGGCTGGACAAGGTCGACTCAGTCTTTCATCCCTTGATTTCCATCACTTGGCTTGGTAAAATGAATACCAAGTTCGCTTGGGAACAAAACACTGGGGATCCTGCGACAAACTGACCACTTGTTCAGGGCATATGCTTACGCACCCCGTGGCCCCCGGTCAAGAAAGCAGATTTCGGGAACAGGCCTTGGCTCATTAGGACTGTTAAGCCACTGAGGTTTTTTTTTCCAAGTTTATGATTTATTTTGATTTTTTTTACGCCTTGTTTCTTCACGTACTCGTTCGGTTCAGAGGTCGAAGCAGATATTATGACAAGTAACGTAATTTTAGTGAATAGGTAATGATGTTATGTTTAAGATAAAAATTATGGAATCTCACATATTCTTCTCATAAAATAATAATTTGACCAGATATGGCAACTATAAATGAGTTGGTACCATACTCAACTGCAACATTATGCCTGTTTATACATAAGTCAATTAAAAGGTAATGTGTAACACACTGTAGCTTGGTGAACGCTAGAGAAAAGAAATCTTATTGTTAAAAGCAGTGTCTTTTGGTACTTTGGAAATGTCGCTCAATATATGATCTATTGGCTTTACTGAATTGTTACTGCACCAACTATTGCACATCTGATGATGATTCTTACAGATCTTTCCTGGATTTGCAGAGAATGAGCTGAGGGCTTTTTATTCTCGCAATGGCATTAAAAAATCAAGATCAGAGATCAGATTTCTTTCCGGCAACAATGCAGGAATGCGTTTCAAGTAGTTGATGACTGAGCATTTGGAATACGGCTTAAGGACGCCACATCCCACATCCTATTCAAGGAATGGCTTCTCTTGAACCCCTTTAACTTGTCCGTTGGTGAAATTTCATGTCTATATATTTACAAGTTTGATTAGTACTTGCGTCTTCGACATAATAATTGTTGCCCCAGATGTGGCCTCCATTATTTCTATTTACTAAAGCTATCTTATGCATAAAAGGTTCTTAAAAACAAGCTTTCGTATCAGTCCACCAGATGCAATTTCACCAGATTCAATTTGTCTACAAGATTCAATTTGCGCACCAGGTACAATTTCTGTTTCTTCAGAAACTGGAACCCTTGTTTGCATTTGACGAAACTCCACTACTACATACTTTCTTGCCTTTCGTTAGAATCTTCAACGATCATAAAAGCTGTCTGTCTATAAAAAAGCACTATATACTATAAGCCAGCACTCTATTATTATACCATCCCACTAGAATCCACTTGGCTCTGTAAAGCGAATATTGCACGTTTACCACTTTGATTGATATGGTTACGTTAGGGTTTATAATGGATTGAATGCACATAGAACCGATGATAGCTTGATAAAGTTAATTTTCCCGAAAAAAGCGACCACCATCATTTTACCTCTGTAAAATTCCTCAATACTGATATTTTCAACCTGGGTTCATTTCAGGTAAACGAGCTAACTGCATGGGCGTTTTAGTGATTTTTCCCTTGTGTAACGTGTATACGAGCCAGTTTATCTCAGAAATTCCTCCACGTAACCATCTCTGCTTTTACGCAGATAGCCCTAGTGCGCTTTGCCATAACCAGCTAAGCCAAACCAATCCAACAAAAGGAATTTACAGTTTTGTAACTTTTTACAAAAGCACTCGTGCAGCTCTTCTCAGTGTGACAGAACACCATCCAATAGTTACCACTTGAAACTACTAAGAACGTTAAACACAATACAATATAAAAATCCTCAACTGCATGAGCTTCCACAGTGATCTCTCAGTACTCTCAATACTTTAATTAAACCCGGAATTCAGTTGTGAATTAAAAACTGAGAACTGATGCTCTCTTCGGTCTTATATAAATTTCCTTCGGCGCAGGTACCGGAAGACATTTACAGTTTTATAGGACCCGATATGAATTACAGTTCCATAATGACAGGACCAGTTATAATTGAACTGGTGTCGGACTCAAATGTCGGTAAATTTTCGCTACGTTTGGAGAAATTGGAGACTTTTCGCGATTTCCCTCCAAATTTGGTGACAAAAATTAGTCGCCAAAACCATCTATGAGGCAAATGGCGTTCAAGATTAAATATAGTTCAAGATTAAATAGGATTACATGTGCAACCTTATTTGAAACCTAATTTTTCCGAAAAGTTTCACTCTTTTGAAGCCTTCCATGTTACATTATACAAGAAATACTATTATTTTACATATAACTCACCTAAAATTATTTTCATATATACAAAATTCGTAACAATATTGTTTGCCTAACTTAACCCGCAGAATACCTTAGAGTTCTATGACGACTTGTTTTAGGAGCTATCATATACAATGTTATATTCTGTACATAGTAGTTCTTATTAAAAGATTCTTAGATGATTAAATCGTTAAATTATTTGTTCCAAAACCCTGCATATAATACTTCCTAAGTGTATTACCTCTTTGCTAACAATACTATGTTCAATGAATATTCATTTTTCATGTTATGATGGTAATTTGTTACGATGATATTTATTGGTGAATATTAGAAATTTTAACTGAACGATTTTCTTAACATGTTTCATATTATAAACTTTTAACAATTATTACATTATTTTTAGCTTTATATGTTTCAATTTTATATTATGATAATTGGTCTAAAATGTACAAACTTTAACTAATGCTCGAGACCACATAAATGCAATCTATGTGATACAAATAAGAACAGTTCTTTATATCTATATCTATATCTATATATATATTGAAAGCTTTTTGTAATTTTATGAATTCTGAAGACCTAAAAATTAACTAATTAAATATTTTTGAAGTCTATATTATGATGTACTTTTGCTTTTTCAGTTTTCGATTGTATAATGGACATTGAAAGCTGCCAGAATACGTCTTGTTCTCATGTGTGTCTCACAGAAACATGCGTGAAAGCAGGTTAGTTTTTTCTGATGCTATTGAAAATTTCTAGTAAATTTCAGCCAAATGAATTCAGTTATAAATAAACATGTACAACCTACAAGATTAATCTGATTTCCGCATGTAATCTTTGGATGTAGCTTAGCAAAAACGGGAAAAAAATATTTATTTTTCCTCCCGAATTATTCCATTCAAAGGTAAACCAAATACATGAACATTTATAGTTTTATAGAATTAACACATGGCTATTTTACGTTAATTTTAAAGCTTTTGATAATTACTGTGTTTAATAGAGCCAGAAGAAATTAAATGCGTTTTGGACATACTGAAATTGTTGTAACATTGCAAAGAGATTTTTTGTTAATCGTTCAATCAAAATTCGTAGCGAACAATATTCCTACAGCCCAGAGAAGTTCAAATATATAATATAAAAATACAGAAAGAATACAAGAAAAATACATATTTCACTCACATAACTGAGATACGCAGAAAAATTCAATTAACGATCAAGGGTATTTGCATCTGTTAGAAATAAGCAGAATAAAAATTATGGCATAAAAAGGGAGCAGGTGACAGGTGACGGAGGACGGGGACGCCTGGTGTTTAACAGAGGTAAACAGGCATATGTCCCGCGCCCTCCCCTATCTACCGGAGGTTTATTGAGATCTTAAAAGATTTATTACATTGCCATACAGGGGCAGATGAGAGATACATTGGCTATTTATATTGTATTACAGATTTAGGTTTGCAAGGTATACGTTACATAACATACTGGTTACACATTCAAGAAAAAAAAAAAAAAGAAAGAAAGAAAGGAAAGAAAGAAAAAGAAAAAAAATATTAACATAACACATACATGACATGACACATAAATACTATTAATAAAGAAGGTACATGCGCTTAGCAGAAGGAAGATACTGTATTTCCTTAGATACAGAGGAGTACTTACATTCACTTAAGACCCTGAATTAGTGGGGTTGGCATAGGTCTTGCCCCAGGGCGGTTATCTGGCTGATTATTCTGCAGATGGTATTCACTGTGCCTTTGTTATTAACGATGAATCGTTTGAAGGCTATTTGGTTGTCTGCTGGCAAGTGGAGGTGATTATCCTCCGTGAGCGGGCATTCAAAGATGTAATGGTCTGGAGTTCCGAGCGACCCACAGACGCACAAGCCTGTATGAGAGATACCAAATCGCTCAAAATAGGTGGGAAAAGGCCCGTGCCCCGAGATGTAATTAGTGATGGGAGGTATGGAAGAACAAAAGTTATGACATGAAAAAAGTTACAAATCAGTAAGTAGTATAGCCCCTCTGGCAACTATACAAGCCGAAATACAGCGTGGCATCGAATCCAGTAGGTCACCTATGACCTCATTTGGAAGATCATACCATAAAATTTGGAAATTCCCTATTATTCCAGGACCGCTGCAGTAGCTATCTAAGCATGTCCTAAATGTGCAAATTGGAGAGAGATCTGTTAATCTGACAGCCACAAGAGTAAGTCATTTCCTTGAAGACGTTATTGGGAGAATCGCGCAGTATGTTGACGAGCGTTGTCTTGCTAATAAATGGCACCTGGACGATTTGATAGCATAAGCAGTACAACCGGGGTTAAAATGTCGTCCACGTAACTTGCAGCCGTCATAGTACCTTGAAGGACGACTGGAGGTGATCGTGTGTCCCAAGAAATCGCTTCCGATATTGTCACTCCTTGTGTAATCACCGTATGCCGCTCGTCAACAAATGCCGGATCGGACCGATGACCTGGCCGCCTCCAGGTCATCAGCATTGAAACTGAATCAGGATTCATCGCTGAATATCACACGCCTCCAGTTGGTCACACCTAAGCTTATTCAAGTTCGACAAAAATTCAATCGATGCTGCCTATGATGTGGGGTCAATGGTAGGCGGCTTAGTGGATGTCAGCAGCATACACCAGCTTCGGCCAGTCGTCTCCGAATGGTTTCTCTTAATACCACCGGATGCCTGGAAGGTGAAATGTAATACCGGATGCCTGGAATGCTTTACCGGATGCCTGGAAGGTAAATGGCATCAAATAGATGCTAACGACGTTGTTGGTGCGATGGCTGCTCTTATGATTGCGCAATCCTCGCGCTCATTTGTTTTAATAGGACGCCTTGACCCTCCGCGACAGTAGACTATCCCTCCGAAATCCATTGTCGCCAACACCGAGCAATTACCATATGGACCGAGGTGGCGGCCGATACGCTTCTTCGACTAACTCGCTTCTCTCAGGCCTACTGTACGGCCCTTTCGCAAAGTTCGATATCTGTTCATACTGCCACCGGTTACATCTCTAGTCACAATCGCGTCCATCCAAGTCGACAGACTGGTTTGAATAGCCCTACGGCACGAGAAATTATGCTTTTATTCTTCCGACTACGCAGCTCATGTGCGCATAGTGCTCTTACCCTTGTCTCACTGGCGTCGAAATTTAAATCATTTGCACATATTTTAACAGACTACATACCAGACTCTCTTATAAGACTTACATATTTCTTACGAGATTATTATTCCTGCTTAGTTTCGTAAATGTGGCTCGATTTCTTCTGAGTGTAAAAATTTTTTTGTGACAGAGTGTATATATCAATTCCTGAAAGGATTGTATTTAACTAGCTAAGTATCAGGAATAGAATACAACTTGCTTTATAGAAATAAAAAATAAATAAATAAATAAACATGTAGAGTTTATTCTTTCAGTCAATCAGTCTTGACATAATTCCTAGCTTCACCCACAACTGTGATCAATGAAAAGTGAAATATTTTAATACGAAAGATGTTCCCAAAGTTCTAGGAAATCTGGTATATTTTTTACTTTGTCAATTTTCATCAATATTACAACACCATTTTTCAATATAATCTCCATTTAATTGAATATACTTAGTCCAAAGAAAAGCTAATGTTTCTAAGCCGTCCTCAGAGAAATTCGTGGCTGTCTCCTCAATTCACCTATTTATGACATAAATTCTCATAGAGAAATCTACATAATTTTTTTTTTAACGCGGGAATAGAATACTGAACAGTTTCTGAAGTTTTGCCACTTTCGCTCCACAAAAAGAAAATGATTGCTCTTCGCATCAACCATGGTTGCTCAATTGGTTTTTCAGAATACCCTGATTGGATCCAAATGGCAGAGAAACTTGTTCAATAATATCTCTAATTGTGAAATGTCGATCGCTAAATGTCAGTTCTCCGACATGACTTGATATGATATAATTCTCAAAGGCTTTTGCAACATTTCAAACAATTTTATAGCAGAAATGCCATTGTGGAAATGAAATTAGATAACTATTTCTGGTTCAATTATGGTTCCATTTTGAAAAATCTCGAATTCGAATTTCTTTTTTCTTTTATCTCCGTTGAAAAAGAATTTATGCGAAAATAAAAGAAAAGAAATACTGATTATTGTTATGTTGTAGAGACATTAGGGTTTTTCTTAGAAGTAGCCAAGATAAAAAATTAACAACGCCTTCGCCGGGAATCGAACCACGGACCTCTGGAACCGGCCCAACGTGCAGAACTACTACACCACGAAAGACACATGGAAAGCAGGAGAAATACCTTATAATGTTATGTTATGTTATCTTATGTAGAAGTGAGGGGGCCACCTAATATTTACCCTAAGTAAGTAGGTATTAGCCCCGCACACTAACTAGAAAACTAACAACATTCTGTCATCATTTCTCGAGTCGTGATGGAAAATTTGACTCCACCGGCGGCGGCATCAACGATACTTCTAACTTTTCAGCTTTAAATTAGCTCAAGTAAAAGGGATTAAATTACATGATATACATTGCGAAATACATAGTTGTGCAGGTGCATATTTTAAGATGTTATCTATTGTAGTGGGTACAGGCAACATGTTTCAGGACATTATATATTGCATTAGAAACAGGCAGGATGTTCTCACGTTACAAATCATTTTTGTAAACGTGATCTGTTTACTATCATAATTAATGAAGAACTATAAGATTGTTTACAAAGCTTACATTTAAGTTTTGTTGTAAAGTTGTGCTGAAACTTTAACAGCTCAATTTTGACGATTCATTATGTGCTGTAACGTATGTTTTTGTGTAATTGATTTTCAGAAATTACATTATTGTCTAGCAGTACGTTGTTATTTGCATGTAAAAATTGATCATGACATTATAAATTGAGGTGGCTAGAAGCAACTTATTTCGAGTATATAGATCATGCTTACAATCATGACTTGTTTACATAATTTATTTTTACAAACAGCTGTCAAAAATAGAAAACATAAAATAATAAAAAAAGACATAACTACGGATTATTACGGAACATCCTCGAAAGTCTTAACTACTTCTGAAAAAACTTCAAAAGCGAGGTTTTGCATGTCCATATCTGCAGCGAATAATTCGCGACATTTTTTCTTTAATCTTAGGAATAACTAAGCAAGTACAAGTTATGTGTATTTCTCTTGCTTACTTCTGGAGAAAGTACAGTAGGGAATAAATAAGATATAAAATCATTTATTTTACCAGCAGAATTCAATTTTGTTGTTTGTGCTACTCTCACTTCTCTGACCTAATCAGAACAAGCCCATGAATTTTATCTTGGCAAGTAGTGGAAAACTGCATCTGTTGTTGACATGAGCACCAAATAGGACAGTACGGCTTTGTCCAGTTCCTTCCCAATTTTGAAGGAAAACAGCCCGGAGGAGAGTCCGAGGATCTCCTACTCCTCCACTAAACCACTCGAGAGGACTTTCGGCTAGGCGTATAATTTGAGTGCCTTCATGCCGCACAGACACTATGCATTTGCAAACATTCATTTCTTCTTTGGGATTAGAACTCGGGCCTTTTAACGTTACTATCCAGTATACCATCAGGGTGACTATCGAAATTCTTCCATTCGAAATTAAAAGGAAAGTTATCAGTATGAAAATTTTGATAGCATACACAATAATCAGAAAAAAAGATTAATCGTATTTATTAATTTTTGTATTATAGCAAATTGTTGCTAATTAAATAGCTGAG